GTAGTAGTAGTGTAGTAGTAGTAGTAGTAGTAGTAGTAGTGTAGTAGTAGTAGTAGGTAGTAGTAGTAGTAGTAGTAGTTGTAGTAGTTGTAGTTGTAGTAGAATGCGCGAAGGGGCATGTAAGATTTGCTTGTACACCGAAATGACGTTAGTTAAAGCGATGTTGTTGTTGTTGTTGTATTTTTTTTCTTTCTGTGCAAAAAAGAGACGCTGTTCTCCGTTGCGAGACAGATATTAACCCCCCCGTAACCCCCGGAGACCTGGCTACGTATCAACGTTCTCTGTATCTCCTCGGAATCGCACCGATTCCAGATCGAGGCAGAATTCAAGATCGACAGGCAGTCATCAAATTCATCGATCGTATTCGGACGCGCGTTCCCTCCGCGCGCGGATCCTTCGACGCCGTCTCTCTTTCTCTCTCTCTCCTTCTCTTTCTCTCTTTTTCTCTCTCTCTCTCTCTCTCGCTCTCTCTCGCTCTCTCTCTCTTTCGCTCTCTTCTCATTCTCTCCCGTCCTCTCCCACATTCTGTTCTCATTCGAATTTCTCTTCCTTATCCCGGCGTTTTACGAAAAATTGTCCGCGGCGGTGCGTCTGACCGGTGCGACGCGCGCGTTCTCAGATCATCCATCGCACGACTAGCTCGGCTCGCGTGATCGGCTGCGCGAGGCTGGCTGTTATAGTGACTCTGATGCGAACGAGTGACAGGACACGTCGGCAGGAACGAAGTCACAAGAGCTCGTACTGGCGCAAGTGCATCCGCTGGATGATGTCCCGGCAATCGTTGAATACCCGCTTGATGTTCTCCGTGTCGACGGCGCATGTGAAGTGCGGATAACAATAGTGCTTGCCGTCCCCGCTCGCCGTGCTTATACGCTGCAAAGTATTGTGGATTCGAGTTAGAGTGGTTTGCGTTTAGTAGCAAGCTATAGTCGCGATACGGATAGCAACGCACTACTTTGTTAACGTGTTTTCCTTTCATTCTAAGCTAATCTTAGGAGTTAGAGTGGCTCGAAGTTGAGACGTTGCAATGCGAACATTTTCAAATTGAAACACTTCAATTTCCGGAGATTTTGAAATTGAAGCACTTCGCGTTCCGGAGATCTTGGAATAAAAATTGTAAGTTACAGAGATTTTGAAACTGAAAAATTGTAAGTTACAGAGATTTTGAAACTGAAAAATTGTAAGTTCCCGAGATCTTGGAATTGAAAAATTGCACCTTACAAAAATTTCGAAATTCAAAGATTTCACGCACCAATTTCGCAGTGCATTCTCAATTAACCGATTGCATCGGCCTACTTTCCAATCAAGTCTCTCCACTGGCCCCCGAAAAAGGGGCTTACAGTTCCTCGACGGAAATTTCGACTGTGCTCCGGTAAAGTAATTAAGCCGGAAGTTACAGGGCCCAGAGCAGCTAATCGAATCTCCGCGTTAGTGCTTTGAAATTTCGATTCTTGCACGGCGGCGAACAACGTTCCGCCGGCCGCCGTGTCGCTTACCAGAAACTCGTCCCTAATGAAGTACTTGGCCCTTATAACTTCAGGAGGTTCCGAGGTGTCCGCCACCACGCCGGGCTCGACCGGCGTCTGGTATCGCGCGAACTCCGGGAAATAGTCCTCCAGTTTGTGCTTGCCTGCTTTTACCTTTTCCGCTAATAGATCCTGTTTATTTAAAAATAAGATTACGGAAATTGTGCGGAGCCACCTGGAAAGAGAAAGCAGAAACACGTTGGTTAGACGTTTATCTGAGTTTGTGCTGTTTCGATGATGTCGCGACGAGTGTATGGTACCGTACCGATTGTTCCAAATGCTTTTGAAGAGATCGAGACTCTCTCTGAGTCGGAGCTTCGTCGGATCCTCCCTGAGTACCATGTTGTAACTACTGCACGCCGTTACGAATATGATTGCCGTTACGTCGTTGAAGCACTGTATCCACTTTCTCCTCTCGTCCCTCTGGCCACCGACGTCGAACATGCTGCAATTATCAATCCCAATGATTTCTCCGGCGATCGTTCGTTTACGAATGCCGCTGCTCGCGATAACATCGGCCGACGGACACGGTTTACCCTGGAAAGGCTGCTGTTCGTCGCGTTATGTAATACTTTGACTCTGATATGCTACTGAGGAATGAAGAAAATTATCTTTGCCGAACGAAGCATTGATCTTTCATCGATTTGATAGATATCCTTAACTCTTTGCGCTCGACAGGTGACTCTCAGTTCACCGCTAGATTCGATATAGCAAAAGTCTTACATTATAACCCTTTGCACTCGGAAGTTTTTCATTAGAAATATTTTAACATTTTCTCATGAGATAAAATCGATATTTTGTGAAACTAAGTCGACGAGAAATCATACGTACGTTGAGGAACAAAGCTATTTTATTTCAATATTTCACAAATTGATGTATTATACAAAGTATAATATTAAATATCAAATTTTGTAGTTTCACTGTATGAAATTTATACAAAGTATAATATTAAATATCAAATTTTATAGTTTTAGTGTATGAAATCAGATGGTGAGTGAGAGTAACTCTCGAGTGCAAAGGGATAATATTATAATCTATATGCTACATCGATTGAAGTATTCAAATCAAATATCTTTGTTCCCAAATTTACGTAATTTTCACATTAGCTTATTTCAGAGTATCGTACATCTCACTGAAAAATCTTGAATATTTCTACAAAACTTTCGACTGCAAAGGGTTAATCAACTTATCAAGGGCAAATCAACTTATCCCACGATCCTTCAACCCTTCACCAAGGAACATCTTCGAAAGCGCTTCTCCGAGACATTTAGAATACTTTATAATCTCGATCCAACAGCCGTATCTACCCTTCCCAAGACGCACCCCGACAGTCCCAAGCAACCGATGCAATTCAACCCCTACATACCCGCGAGACGTACACCAATGAAATCAGAAAAAAAACATCGATTCTGCAGTATAATTTCCCAATCAAAGTTTACGCCGCGGCCTTTCCAGGTATAAAAATACAGGATCCTCCGGACGGACTCGACTGCTCGGCGCGAGTCTCCCGGCGGGGTAAAAAAAATCGTGCGGGCCCGTTCACCCGCGGTCCGACCCTCCGGCGATCCGGTTAGGGGGTGGGACGGCGACGGGGATGCAGAGTGCTAGAATCGATTCGATAATTTCTACGGGGCCGCCGGCAGAGAGGACGCTTCCCCCGCGAGGAGGCAATGTGGAGCGGAGAATCCTCCGAGGTCCGTCGAGCGGACGGGAAAAAAAAAGGGGGAAATATAATAAAGTTGCGGAGGCGTTAACGCGGCTAACGGATTTCGCTGCGCACGGCCGTGTACCACGTAAGTCGCCGTTCTGTAATACACACACACCGCGCGAGGGAGATAGACAGATAGATAGAGAGAGAACGAGAGAGAGAGAAAGAGAGTGAGGAGGGAGAAGGAGGGATGGAGACGCGCGTCGCTGGTTCGCGTTATATTTACCGTCGGCCGATGTTACTGTAATACGTCGGCTATATATAGTTAGACGACGCTGGAAAGCGAGATGCGGCGAGGTATCGGGACGGGACTTACTGAAAGTTTACTTTGTCGACTTGAAACCGCGTCTCGAAGATACCGGACGTGAGGACGCGACACCTTAGGATGTCCTGGAACAAGCAGAACGAATTAACGGGTCGTGGACGGTCCGGGGGACGCTCGGAGCCGATGGCTTCGAGCCTTCGTGGTCTCGAGTTGTCTTCTCAGCGTCGGGTTACTGGATTCTAGTCCGACGGTTCCTCTGAATTCGCGAAACATTCGGGAATGGAGGAATGAGATCGAGGAACCGGCATCGTTATAGAGAGATTGATCGGTTTCATCTGCGAATTGAGTGGTTCGACGAGTAACATTGTATTTGCATCGTGTAATAGCGCATGATTGTTAATGAAGATCGGAGTACAATGAATATTTAAGCGTCGAGTGTCTCGAGACCACGAAGGGTTCAGTCTCAAGCGTCCGACGAGTAGAAGTCTCGCTCACCTGTTCCGTGGGGGTGTAATCCGGTTGCTTAACAATGGCTACCTTATCTAGAAAACTGAAACAAGAGAAAGGCAGGATGACATCGGAGCTTCCGCAGAGGGCGTTACAGTATTCTAATCTAATTAACAATCGCGCTCGCCGGGGTAACGAGCCGGCCGGCGGTCCAAGACGAAACCGGTTTCCGATCGACGGCCTCGGTACCAGCGATGACGATCGTTCGCCGACCGCATCGTTATCGCCTGGGACCGCTTCGCGCGTTCACCGGCTCGTCTTCGTTCTGTGGACGCGTGCGTCGAATTCCGGTAGCCGCCTCCCCCGCGATAGAATCCACCCCGACCAGCGAGTTCGCGTTGCGATCGAATGTAACGGGACGGATCGTCTGAGGTTCCTATTATTCGTCGGAAGGGGATGAACCGAAAAGCGTAATCATTAAAATAGACGCTGCGCCTCGAGGAATCGAATTGAACCGGGAGTCGGCGGCCGTAATAGGGGGTTGAAATTTAATCGCTCCCGATCCCTCGGGAGAACCGTTCCGTTCCGAGGATTCGGGAGCAGGAAGCTGCCGCAGGATCTCGAGAGGTGGCTGCCGTCGGAGTCGTGTACCGATAACGCGCGCGGATGGAAAGCGGAAGTGGCTGCCGGCGAAGGGTGGGCCGCAACCGAGGGGACGAGGAAGAGAGGAGAACCTCTCCTTTCCTCTCGTCCTCGCTCGCGACCCCTTTGATCCCACTTGTTCGTTCCTCGGCCCTTTCGCTCCTTTCGCCAGCCGCTTTTTTTCAGCCCCTTTGGATTCTCTTTCTGTTTCGTCTTCTGCTTCCTCTTCCTTTCCGTCGTCGGCTCTTTCTCTTTCGACGTCTCGCGTTTCTTCCTCTCTTTAATGTTCTCTCTATTTCCTTCTTTCCTCTTCTGGCACCTCT